GTTTTAATCATGTCAAAGTTTTAAAGTAAGAACTTTAGGTCTACAAAAGGTTTTACAATACAGATCAACGTGTTTCACTGGCTCTGCAAATTACTGCTCAGCTATCACACACACTGCTCACACACCTTCCTCTTCCACTCCCATCTTGTATTTCACTGCATCTCCCAGTTTCTCAGAGCCACCTAGATGCAATTTCCAAATGACAAACAAAATACAGATCAGCTTCTTCTGATAATATTCCATGCCTAAAACTGATGAAATGTGACACAAAATCCTAAACTTTGGGAGGAACACAACATGCTGACACTGAAAAGGCTGCATGTTTATCTATGTCTAATCTCAGAAGAAACGACATTAGCGCATGTATTTCATCTGAAAAGCAGAAGAGCAGTCAGGGAGAGGAATTAACGTTACTATTTGAACCTTATCTGCATTTCCTGTGTTTTAAAACATGTCAGCACTGCAAACTGAATCATTAGGAGATGCAGAAAGTCGAACACGTGTTTTAACGGTAATTTTTGTTTTTTATGAACTCGTCAGTTGACTACAGAAACCTAGGAAAACATTCCTTTCAGAGAGGTTGTATTTAATTATGATCCTATAAACTTATAAATAAAAGCAAAAGGTGAGCAAACAGCAGCAGTTCCTGCAAAACTGAAGGCTCAACCCTGAGGCTGTAACAGTCCTGCTGGACTCAGACACAGGACAGATCTTACTGTCTGAACTGTCAGAGGGCTGGGAAGGAGAGATGAGGCCCGTTTCTGAAACAACAGAACTGAGCAAGAGCTTAGAGACAGAGTCCTGTGACTATAGTCAAACTCTTCAGCCTAAAACTGTAATTGAAAAAAAAACCTGAAAATATTCTGTGATTTGCTCACTCGAAGATGAAGAAAACAATCCAAACTTGTCAAAAGAGAACGAGGAGGGGGAAAAAAACCCAAGAAAAAAAAAAAGGCTTTGTCACATTAAGGAATAAACCAAACCAATCCCCTTATTTGTCCTACCTGGACCAACATGGCTCAAGCCATTCACTTCACTTTTCATATAACTCCTTCTTGAATTCACAATCAAAAGAAAATATAACTGAACACCTAACTGAATAATGATATTTGCTTAATAAGTCTAGAAAAACATAAAGAAGGTCCTGAACTCACAATTTCCTCCTGACTCCCACTGTTTACCTATACAGCAGCATTTTTCAAGGGAGGGACTCGCAATTGCAAAATCTATGGCAGGACAGATACTGGTCCTTATCTCATGCATTGCAAGGCAAATTCAAACGTGTACTGTCCATCCTTATAATGACATATCTCTCGTTTAAAAACATGAAATTTCCGCTTCTGTGATTAAGATGCGATTTAGAACAGTCAAACCCAAGGATTTCTCCCTCCTTCCAAATTAACAACATCCCAAGAAAATGCTAAAGCAGGAGGAGCCAAATGCTTTGTGCAGCTTAAACCACAGAAATTCCCATTGCATAGGTGATAAATTACTGTAAGTGTGCACTTTAACTCGAAAAATATATCATGAACGGAGAGAAAATAAAATTAAAAAACACATCAGTGTTCATCTCTCCCAAAGAAGCAGCTACAGAACTTTGTGGCTACCACTGAGTTTTTCTGAAATAACTTACAATACAATTATGATGGTCGTCACTAAAAGTCATCATTCATTAAAGCTCCACCATTCTTGGGCAGAATAATAATAAAATAATAATTAGAAGTCTTGTTTGGGCTACTTATTGCAGAAAATGAATGAATCACCACAATAACAAAAATACGTAACTACTGCTAAAAAACAGTCCTGTTTATGTTTGTGTGCGCCCCCCCCCTTCCTCTGACTGAGAAGGCATGAAAAGAATCAAGCTTTTCCTAGCCAAAGCTTCTTTTCAGAAGTCTTACGGTTCTTCTTGAGCTACAACCTGCAGACGTTAAAGCCGGTACTCCCGGACCCTCCTGCTTCCTCCCCCAACACCACCCTCAGGAAGAGATCCAGAGACATTTGTCTTCCAAACTACGAACATCTGTCTCATCCCTCTTCGCGCAAGCCAGCAGCTTCTACTCAGAAGCGCAGAATTCCTTTAACCTCAGCCTCTCTCCCCGCCTTGTATTTGTGTTTCCCCACGAGAGAGCTCCGCCACCACCGGCCCTCTCGGACCGCCCGTTCCCGTTAACCGCGGCCCCGGCCGCCGACATCCAAACAACGGGGCTGTCCCTCCAGCAGCACAACAACAGCCTGGCTGTGGCGGGATCTTATTCTTCCTCCTTCTCCTCTTCCTCCTGCTCCCGGTGAGGGCCCGGCGCGGTTCCCGCGCCCGGAGGGGCCCGGCCCGCCCCCGGCCGCCATGCAGGGCCCCAGCGCGGAGGGCCTGACCCGCACCCCGGCCAAACCACGGCGGAACCCCCCGCGCTGCCCGCACCTCATCCCTTTTCCCCTTCCCCCTTCCTCGCGCTGCCCCCAGCCGGGAGAAAGCCGCCCATGTCGCTCCGACAAAACCTCCGCCCTTCACGCGATGCGGGAAGCGTGAGCGAGGGAGACGAGGGGAGAGGGGCGGCCCGCTGCACTCACGCTCTCGTGGTCCCACGCACGTTGCTGCGCTGTCTCATCCGGCCAGGTTCCTGTCCCGGCCCATGAGCTCATCGAGAGCTTTGGGCGGGCCGATATCATACGCTGCGTCCTGGCCGAATCCCCGCCTCGCCACACAGCCGACTCGCCGCCTCGCCCGCATCGCCCCGCGGGCCGGCGCCTGACAGAGACAAAATGCGCGGCGCTCGCCCTGCCCACAAATGCACCGAGCGGGCCGCGGCCTCAGGCCGGGTCGTGCCGGCCCGGGAGCCGCCGGGGTGAGCGGCGCGCTCTGAGGGACCTGAGGGGCCTGAGGGGCGGGAGGGGGCGAACCCCCAAGAAACGGCGAAATAGGGAACAGCGACCGAAACAGCGAACAGCGACACTCGTGTGTGGCTCGATGTGAGGGACGGCGGGAGCCACACAGTGCCCAGCCCTGTGTGGTGTCACGGCAGTGTCCTGCCCTGTGTGGTGTCATAGAATCACAAAAACAACTAGGTTGGAAAAGAACTCTGAGATCATCGAGTCCAATCTTTGACTTAACACCACTTTGCCTACTCGACCATGGCACAGACTGCCACATCCAGTCTCTTCTTAAACACCTCCATGGGCTGTGACTCCACCACCTCCCTGGGCAGCCGGTTCCAATGCCCAGTCACTCCCTCTGTAAAGAACTTCTTCCTAATGTCCAACCTAAACCTCCCCTGGAGCAGCTTAAGACTGTGTCCAGCCCTGTGTGCCCTCACTGGGCAGCCTGTTCAGGGTGTCCTTCATATTTAATGTAAATCTTTCTGTTTGACCTTGGAACCAGTTTTGGCCCATTTTGTTGTTTTCCCTTTATAGATGTGATTTTATACCTCATATGTACTGAATTTCACATAGCAATTTTCAACTATTTTCCAATTTCTCAACATCGATTTGAACCACTTAAGTGGATGAAATTAATTAAATTTTAATTAAATAATATTTTATAAGAGCTTGAAGCCTGTATTCATGCAGATCCTGTAAAACCTACAGGACTCACAGCAGCCTTTTTCAGCATCACTGAGGGCTTTGTGCAAGCACCAGTGTTACCTGAGGAGTTATCTTTTGGAAATCTCTCCATCACAAACTTTTTTCAAGCTTTTCAATTTTGTAATGATTGAACAACCCCCTGGAACTGTTGGAAGAGTGTAATTGAAATCAACACCACACAACTGAATTTTCAGTCAATATCCCACAGTCTGGGTTTGGGGGCGGGAGGGAAGGCGGGTGTTTGTGTCAGAAATTGGGGCAGAACTGGGCTGTTTCAGCTTCTTTTCTATTGCTCCGATTGCATTGAGAAAGCAAACAGGTACCCTGGAGCCCAACTGCTGCAGAATTCCCTGGCATGTCAGTGTGGCTGCACAGAGCAGGATGGAATGGAAAAGTCTGACTGAAGTTCAAAATAATTATTTTGACTTTTAATAGTTGTGAAATTTTTACCAACTGTTCTGTAACTTGATTTAGGACATATCCACAACGACCAAACCCAGCTTTTCAAACCAAGCAATGCAAATGGCAGGACTTACCTATAATCTTTCCAACTGATTTGCAGGCAGCTGTAGATTTTTATTTTAATTTTGGGGGGCAGGGGGTTGGGGATTAATTGATTCTGCTGAGAATGCACAAAGATGGTGAGAATTTCCTAAGCAGAACAACAGGACGCTCCTGTGGAAGTGTCCATGGCCAGGTTGGACGGGGCTTGGAGCAACCTGGTCCAGTGAGAGGTGTCCTTGTCCATGCCAGAGGGTTGGGATGAGATGATCTTTAAGGTCCCTCCCAACCCAAGGTCCCTCCCAACCCAAATCCTCATAATCTTAAAAATCTCTTCAGTACATCCTTTCATGGCAGTCAGCAGACAAACCCAATTTTTCCGAATCCCTCTATTTACCCTCTTTAGCAGCAGGCTAGTGCAGAACGGTGGCCATCATAACATTGTTTCCTTAACCTGGGTAAAACCACTGGATTAACTGAATCTTACTTAAATTACCAGAGATACTCAGTGAGCTAGAAATATATCCAATCCCTGAAAGTATTCAAAGCCAGGTTGGACGGGGCTTGGAGCAACCTGACCTAGTGGAAGGTGTCCCTGCCTGTGGGAGAGGGGGGGGAAGGTGGAACGAGATGATCCTTAAGGTCCCTTCCAACTCAAACCATTCTACGATTCCACGACTCATTCTATTAACGATTACAGAGCGCGCAAGAACAACAATCAGACCAGGAGACACCCTCTATTGTGCATTTGTACGTTAAACAATATTAAATGACGGCGGGAGCGCCCCGTCCCGCCGGGCAGCGGCCGCGCCCCGCCCGCCCTGCGCTGCGCCGGAACCGGCTGTCGGGGCCGGGTTGTCACCGGCAATAGGTTCCCCCGTCGCGGGGGTGTGGGCCGAGGGTCCCTGGCCGCCGGCGGGATGCGGAGGCGGGCACGCGAGGCTGGCGGAGGCGGGAGCGGCAGGAGCGGCGCGTGGAAGGCGGCGGCGCTGGGGGAACGCGGAGGAGGTGCGGCGCGCGGGCCGCTGCGTGAAGCTGGGGTCGGCCATCGACTCCAGAAGCGAAGTCAACGCGATGGTAAGGCCAGCCCTTCCCCGGGCCCCCCCCCGGCGATCCCGCGGGCTCGCTCCTCACGCGAGGTGCCAATTGAGAAGGAAATAAAAGGTGGATCCGCCGCGGAACGCTCTGTGGAGCGATCCCTGTTCCGGAGGTGCGGCTGATAACCGGGGTCTCAAACAGGGGTCCCCATCCCGCCTCCTGCGCCTTTCGCTGCTTCTCGGGGTCGCTGTGCACTTACTTTGTATTGATGGGTTTGGGTTTTTTTTTCTCCTTCTCCAGGTCACTGTGTACTTACTTTGTACTTATAGTGGTGGGTTAGATTGGGTTTTTCCCAGCCTGAGACAGCAGAGGCTGTCAGAACACAAACCTCGGCTTTACGTGTTCACGTCTATCTAGAAATATTTATTATTGACTCTAAACCAAGTTTGAAAATGGCTTTCCCTTTCAAGTAGGGACCCTGCAGGCTGTTTCAGGGGATGTATACAAACGCTTTGGTTTTGACATCTCATTCACACCCACCTGAGGACACTAAAGCCAAGGCTGTTCTGTAATAGACACACAAACCACAGCAAAACAAAAAACCCAGAGCGGAAAAGTCTTTTGGGGGCCGGACTTTCAACTAAAACATTTTCTCCGTCTAAGTTTATTTATCTCTCTTTTAATTCTTAAAAAAATAAATAAACTTGGAGAAGGGTTGTGTTCATTTTTCTGAAGTTTCCTTCAGCTGGAGCTAAAGAATTAAGACATAAAAAACTGGAAAAAGGTCAAACACCTCTAGAAGCTGGGATAGGAAAGGATGGTCTGACTGTATAGCAAGTTACATGTGTGAGTCTAAGTCCCCAATACTAAGTTTAGTAGCTTTTAAATAAGTTTAGTAGCTTTTAAGATGTTTCCTTACTATGTCTCTCTAGTCAGTGACTGCAAATAATAATTAAAAAACATAGAAAAGCATTCAGTTCTGTGCATCAGTTACAGATTGCAGAAAACTAGAGTTGTCTGCAGATCAAAGGAGGGGAATTGCTGGTGCAGCAAATAGCAACTGGGCAAAGAACTGTGCTGAGAAACTATAGAATATTTTAAGCATTATTTACTTGTCAAAAGCGCAAGTCCTTGTGCTGACAGCATTAATTAAAGAGTACAAATAGCATCCTAGAGAAGTATCCCTAATAGATTATGTATACATACACGGACAAGTATTTTAAGTACAGATGATTTTTTCAAAGATTAAGATAGCATGCACAAGATTTCTTTTTTATATTTAATTTTCCAGCTAAGTTTATAGCCTAAAGAAAGGACAAATTGAAATGATCTTGAACTTTAAAAACCCTACTTTGGTAATTGGTATCAAGAGCATTAGAGTGAGGGAAAATGACATCAGCAAGTGCCATTGCAGGCTCTGAATCCAGTGTACATTTCCAAGGAAGTTTGCAATTCAAACCTATTTTGCTGGGCATGCATTAGGTCTTGTTCTTCTCACAGGCAGCAAGAATGAGTGGAAATGAACCTGCTTTGACACAGAGTTAATGTTTTCCACGTGCAGGACATGTTTGCACTGGGCCTGTAAGCGGAACCACGCGGCCGTGGTGGCTTATCTGCTGCACGCAGGAGCAGACAAGGACATCCTGACCAAGAAAGGAGAGAGGCCAGCCCAGTTAACATCCAAGAGGGAGATCAAGGAGATGCTGGGAGGTAACCTAGTCACTGTGCCCTGTGACCATCAAAGACTAGTAAAGGGCTGTTTAAGCATGTGTGCTCCAGTCTTTGTTTTGCATGCGAAGAGACTGTGTTTGGATTTCAGTACTAACTATACTCGATTTCTTGTGTTTACTTGGGAAGAAAACAAAGTTTAAGAAAAGAGGATTACCAACAAATTCCATACCCAGCTAGCCAGACTTTTTTCTAAACACTGACAAATTAGAAAAACTGTTATTTTGAAGAATGCCATGCAGCAGACAGATACAGCTTCCTGTTTTTAAAAAGGCAATGGGAGAAAAAATCTCTCGAATTTGTAGGAAGCCCTTATATGATCAACACCTAATTTTCCTGATGTTCTGTGTTGAATAAATCGAAAATTAGCAGCTCATTAAAGGACATTGGTAGAGCATCTTTATCTTGTTTGTAACTGCTGGAGCAGAGTAGGATTTGCTGCTGGAGCAGAGTAGTATTTGCTGCTGGAGGTAATAATTTGAAATGTGGTCGATTAACAACCTCTCCCCTCCCCTTTGTACTCCCAGGTCTGGTTTTGTTTTCATTGTTGTCTCCCAGCTGTTGAATGGGTAATGCTGCAGCTCTCCCAGTACTGCATGTTCCCTTCCCTTTATCCCCTGCCTTAATATCGACCCTTTGTTTTTTGTTGCCTGATGCATTATGAAAATGACACCACCAGAGACTGTGTTACAACACGCTGCTATGGATTAAAACAAACCAAAACAGGAGAACTGCCGCATTTAGAAGGAATTAGTACCCCTAGAATCACTAGAATCAGACTCAGCTTTTGTGTTCACTGTATGGCAGCACCTGAGCACGGTTCTGTTTACTGTGGGGAAAAAAAAGGTGCAGGTCTTCCTGATACATTTTTTAACCTGTGATGCTTTTAACACTCCACTCCCTCCCTATAACAATAATAATAATAAAAAAGAAATAAAGCAGTGCAATAGCAATAATTCTTTTTTTCCCCCAAGATAAGTCTCGGAGAATGTTGTTTTGTTTGTTTTACAGTGGAAGACGATGAACTCCCGGACCTAAAGCAAGATTCAGACCTGCCAATCATCCCCAATTACCTGGCTAACCCACCTTTCCCTTATGTTTATAACACCACGGGCAGCAGCATTCCAGATCCCACTGTGAATGGGAGTGTCTCCCATTCTGAACCGCACGATGCCGACTCCCTGTCCGTGCCTGACGCGGAGCTTTGCAGACGTGCGCCGCCACAGCACGGGAACGCTGCTCCCGAGGGGGCTCCCAATGGGGACATGCCACCCCTGCCCCGAGGGCCTGTTGGGCCACCACGCTCACACCCTGTCCTCCAGAGAACTCCTGTTTACCAGGGGCCGTTGTCGTGGAGCAGAGGCCCCCCTTCGCCGGCAGGATCCAACCAGTCCGTACCCCAGCAAGAGAACGGCTCCCGCGTGGGGCCTGTGCCAGCCTTCCAGCCCGTGTTCTTCACAGGAGCTTTTCCACTCAATATGCAAGGTAACAGCAAAAGTCTCCTCTCACTTCATCTGAGATCTTCTGTCACCTTGGGCAGTGCAGACTAATCAGGGTCACACGTACTCACAGCACTTCCAGAGATTTTCAGGTTCCCGTGCTTAGACATTCATGAAATATTTGTAGAGAATGAAAGATGCAGGTATCCTGTTTCTGCTGGAACTGGTATTAAAATATTGATGAAAACATTTGCTGTTTGTCTCAATTGTCATAAAAGCATACAGGCCCCAGGGTAATCTAATTCTCTAAATAGCATAGTCCAGGCTGCAAATACAGAACGTGAGTATGCAGCTGGTGAGCTCAAGAGAACATCACATGGCTCAGTCTGCACCCAGGTCTTGAGCTGAATTGTTCTGGGATCTGCCAGTTCTGCAGGGAAGCTTTGCCTGCCTAGAGAGGGAAATCTGCAATTCCAGTTTCTGTTCAGAATTTAATGCTTGAAATAAAAGGTGTTCTGATGCCATGGGTTGGCAATTAGAATTGAACTGATGACCAAAAGAGTAAATAAAAGCAATCTTGGATTGCTCAGGAAACTGATAATCAGTATAATCTGCTGTTAAGTTGGCTTAAATCCAGTAAGGTGAGTATTCATGCAAAGGCTCAGACATCCACACACACACACTGCATTAGATTTGTAATGATTTTTTTCATATAGGTTGATGAAAGTCAATGTAATGGAAACTCTGCTCATACAATTCCAGTTTTTGCTTTCCAAGTATTCACATGTTGTTACAAATGACACAAACAAGGTTAACAGAATACAGAAGTATTCAAAAGTTAGTCTATAGTTTTGAATTCCTTTATACATCTGCCTATTAATATGCCTTTTTATTTCTAATAGAACTGGTGCTTAAAGTTAGAATACAAAACCCTAATCTTAGAGAAAATGACTTCATTGAAATTGAACTGGACAGACAAGAACTGACCTACAAGGAACTGCTCCGAGTGAGTTGCCATGAGCTGGGTGTGAACCCCGAGCACGTACAGAAGATCAGAAAATTACCAAATACAATGTTAAGAAAGGTAAGAACTCTACATTTTGAAGCGCATTAACTTATAAAAAACATTTTTAGATTACTGTTATAAAGGGATAATTTTTGGGTCACCTGCATAGGCCTACGTTGGAAAAAAAAAACAAAATGAAAAACCTTCCTTCAACTTCCAACACTGAGCAGTTGTTTTGGTTTTCTGTTAAGTAAAAAGGTTCTCCAGTTTCTTTTCATAACCATTTGGTTAGGCTCACCTGATTTTGTGAGCTGCCATCAGCATTTAAAAGGCCTGCAGAACTCAGCCGAGCTCTTCAAGTTCATCAAGGCCTGGCTGGAGTCCTTGCACAAACAGAGAGATGTTTCAGAATTACTCAGGTCTCTGAACAGAACTGTCCTTACTTCAGTGGACGTTCACCCCTGCAGCAAACACAAAAGGCACCTGTTTTACCAACTCACCACTGACCTCTCTTTCACTCTGAAATCCTTGCAGAGCATTGTTGGCGTCACTCGTGGGCCAAATCTGATTAGGAGTAATAGACTTCACCCTGCTGCATCTTCACTGACTATAGGATGACTTATTCCGTGTTAGTCAAGAAGTGGAGGGAAAAGAAAAAGACACAAGGAATTCTGTCACTTGCCAACTTCAGTTACTGTTGAAAAGAGTTTTTATATCCAGCTCTAATCTCTTCAGGACACTTACTGTTCCTTGAGGTGACAAAAACCCAGTTCTGTGTCATGCTGTTGGCAGCAGAGCAGGGCTGTGGGGGGCCCAGAGCTGGCCTTAGTGGGCTGCTCTGGAGGAAGCTGCATGCAGGACTTTCTTTGGTATATGCAAGTACCAATTCATGAGCTTCTAAGAATTATCAAGCAGGAAAAAAAAAGAGGAGTTGGGTGGCATGCAGTAGGTCTTGACAAGTGCAATTCCTCTAATCACTTGCACTCACCATCAGTGTTGCATTCCTTCTAAAAATAGACTTAAGTGAGTAGCTGAATAGGATCCCAAAATAAATATAAGATGCAACAGGATGTCTGCTTTCCAGCTTACTGTAAAGAATTGTCGTATTTATAGATACATGTGTTAGTATGAGATAGTTTTAACTTACCTCTGCAAAATTAACAGACAGTATCACCTAACTACTTATTTTATTTATTTAAAGGACAAAGATGTTGCAAGGCTACAGGATTTCCAAGAATTGGAGCTTGTTCTAAGCGACAGAAACTTACTTTTCAGAGTCCCAACACTTTCTGAACGGAGTGGTTATAACAAGAAGGCATCAGAACTTACATACTGATTGTTCAAGGAATAAAACAAAATATTTGTATCTCTCATTTTAAAATTAAGTTTGAAACACAATATCTATAAGGGCTAATGATGTGAAAAAAAATCTATTTTGTTAACCTGGAAATAACTTAAAGTGGTTATGCACAGTTACAGCTTCTAGTTAATCTAAGAGCAGTGAGTCTGATATGAAAGTAGCTCAATGCAAAGGAAGTATTGGCAGAACTATCTGTTAATGCGACACTTTTCCTTACAAAAAGATAATCTTCAAACACTGCAGAGTTAGCAGCTCTCAGGGAAAGGCTTACCTTAAGCTGTTCTAATAATTTGATTGCTATAAAATAGCAGAGGTACTCAAGCTAAAGAACCTGCCACGAAGCCCATTTAGTGTTTGTACTGAGTCCATTACCATTAATGTTCCCTTTTTAGATTGTGTATATTAAGTCATATCTTACTTAGAAGGAAAAAAACAGAAGGGTTTAAATGTGTGGAAGAAGCACAAAACTATGTCTCGTTTGAATACTATCAAGTGACTTATTACCTGTGATTTCTTAATCCCTGTTTACACTTTTCCCCATTTCTCAGGTTAAAAATAAAAGTGATAGTAATTATCCAAATAATAAATATGCTCTCAACCAAAATCCCTTTTATTGTTGTCTGTCAGTATATAGCAATTTAAAATGTGCAATTTAAAATCCTATTCTTCTTACTGTATTGACATTTCTCCAATGCTGCTTTAATTTCCCCTTTTAAAAGCACAAAATTGTAATTTTATTTTCCTTTTGCTTCTGCATTCCTGAGAAAGATTGCATCTTGAACCTATACAGCTGCCTGTGTAAAAAGAAACTAGTGAAGTGCCCAGTGATTTCTGGGCTGATATTAAATCTTCCTGTGTTCCTATGCAATGCATTTTATTTTTTTTCCCTCTGACTTGTGTTTACCCATGTTGTTTACTGAAAAAAAAACCAAAAACACAGTTACTTAAAATTCAGAATTTGACTAATTTACTGTGACATTCTGGAATAAAGAAATTGAAAAGTATTTAAGAGCTGGATTTTATCTGATTTTTTTTTTTAGGATTTTAGTATTTAGTCTCTCCACTTGCATTTGATGAAGAGTTCTCTCGTAGCTTAAGTGAAAAGTGGATGCTGTGGATTAGATGAGCAAACTAAAGTATGAGATGTAACAGGCAAACAGAAGGCACCAAACTGGACTGAATTTTCCTGTTTCTTCGTCTTCCCCTTCCCCCCCCCCCTCCCCCAGTTTCTTTGGAAACTGCAGCAACCAAAGGAATTTATCTTTGTCTTGTCTAAGAGTTCAGAGCTGTGCAATGTCTGTACCTGCCCGACAGCCGAGGGGTGCTGAGCTGGGAGCCTCCCAGACCAGCCGGAGGCAGCGCCGAGGCCAGCGCAGCATCCGGAGCTCCGACTGCTCCAGGTGACTCCCCCTGCCTGGGGCTGGGCACCAACCTCAGCCTCGGCCCCTCTCTCAGAGCGAAGCAGAGCAGTGACCTGTCCCACAGCCAGTACCTGGGGAACTCGCCCGCCCCGGCCGTGCTCGCCGCTCCGTGCGCAGGGAGCGGCTCCTGCAGCAGGGACTGAGCACACAAGAGGGAGCCCCGCTCCCAGCCTGCCGTCCGCGGGATGGCCGCGGCTCACCCGCAGCACGGATCGGTGCAAACACCCCCGTTTCCTCTGTGCCAGTTCACTCGGCTGAAGTTCGGTCTCCTGAGGTGAATACAAAACATTTTGTCGCATCAAAACAGCCTCTTCTGCAAAAGTGCTGGAGGTCAAACAGCCCGAGGCATTGGCAATGTATGATTTTTATATCAGATTTCTGGTGGAATATTAACTTCTGTAGAATGGAATAACAAAATCGTCATTCCTTGCATCACCCTGGCTGTTGCTTTCTCCCTGGCACACAGCACAGGATGGGTCAGGCATGGTCTGAGCACCAGCTGAATCCAGGAGGGTACCAGGGTTAACCAGCCAGAGCCACCAGAGGAAAGCTCGGCTGTTGGGTCAATGATCTTGCACAAATGCTGACCCCTATCTATGCATTCCCAGGAATATTTTTGTGTCTTATGCAGTTTATGCACCGAAGACACTATTAGCACTCCTAACAATCCCATCAGTGTATAACCACTACATTCTGTGTGTGATAAATAATTCATTGCTTTGTCCTCAGCTATATGAAATGTTAATGCCTAATGAATGCTTGGCTGCAGATTCACGTTTCTATTTAAGAAGTATAATTTGTAAGGATTAATAAATTATTATTTTTGTCTTCCCAAAGTTTTTCTGCGCTTGACTCCTGGTAAAATTTTTTCTTGCCAATGGGTTTGTGGAGTGCTTGGTGTAGGAAGAAAACAACTAAAGCAAAAGAGGTTCTAGCAGCAAATACTGTTTGAACAGAGGACTCCTTTCGTCTGAGGAGGCCTGGTTATCAGTAATAAAATAGATATTTATTACTGTAAAACAAATCACACATTATTTCAGGTGATTAAGGAGTTGAACAAGATAAACTAAATACACACCAGCTCAGCATGCACGTTCAGCTAAAGTGGAGACTTACTCATGGTGACTCCATACCTAAGAGAGATACAGCAAAATTCTAGTACTTCTGTGCCAATCATGTCCCTGTAGGCTTGTGTGGAGCCTACTGAATTGGAAAAAATTGTGTGGTTAATGATTTATATGAAGCCATTTGTAGGTTTAGTTTTAAATACATGTTACTTCTTATGCTGAAGAGGAATTTTATAATGCTGAACTTGCCCTGGGAAGGCATCCCAAAGGTCCTGGGATAGCTCACAGCCTGAAAGCTGCAACATTCAACTCCCTTGCCCTGGGGAAATATTGAAAGGAATAGCTTGGAACCACTCAGAGGTTACACATCATTTCACTATTATTCAGCTGAGTCACGACTTAACTGGGCCTGTTTTCCACTTCAAACCCAATGAATCCTTATGCAGAAAACACACAAACCAGGTGTATTTTGTACCATTAATATAATTTACTAATTACAAACCTGAATGCAGTACTTATTGCCCTGCAGTACATACATTTTCTTGGCAGAATGTTTGGCCTTCTTTGGGAAAAAAAAGCATATAATAAAATACTTTATGTATATAGAAAATATTTAAAAATATAAAATTCACTTTCTGGTCCTTGTAATTGTAAAATACTTTGTTCACATATCACAAGTTGAGTCTACTACAAAAACTGTTTTGTAAAATTACAGTACATTCACAAGTCACTTTTGTGGCAAGTCAGTAAGATTAAAAAAACACCAAACCAAAACCCAAGGGGTCTTCTCTTCATGCCAGTCCAGCATCTTTGGCCATACTGTAGAAAATGCCCTTTGCTGCTATAAGGTTTGCAGGTGTGTCAAATTCAGCTATGGTTCCATTGTCTAGAACAAGAACCCTGTGAAAAACAAAACAGGAGGCAGGGGGAAGGTATGTCAGAGAATTCCTAGCAAGAAATGTGATACCTGTTTTTATCACAAAGCAAACTGCTCTAATCTTTACCTCACCTTTGTTTTCCTCAATTATTTTCACACAGATGATAAACATTCTCCCTGAGCTGCTGTTTGGCTAAAAAAGGTAGAGGGCAGTCACTATCTCCTCGGTCAATAAGAGGGGAAAAAGTGTCATGCCACTAGTTCTGGAAAATACAGTTCCAGAGAGCCAAGGAGATAAAAGCTCATGAAGTATACTAATATATTTTCAAGTAATTAATATGACATGCTGTTAGTGAAAAAGTTACAGCAGCTGCTGGTTTAACAAGGCTGCATAAGCTTCCTGACAGTGCCAGGAGTGCAGCTGGGCAGTGTCACCTGCACAGCTCTGGTTACTGAATATAGAACCTGTTTCTTACGCCAACAGAGCCAAAGTCAGGACTGGATATTCTGGGATTATATGGCTTAGACATCATTGCTTACATGCTGCCCAGCAAGAGCATCAGTGTGCCTATCTAGGGACAAACCCAACCCCTTCAGGTGCCGCCTCACATCCCCAGCAAAACCACGAGCCTCCCCCCCACGCACACGGAGGGACTGTACCTCGTGTAATCCATGATTGTGTTCAGCCTGTGTGCGATGGTCAGCACCGTGCAGTCCTCGAACTGGGTCCGGATTGTCATCTGGATGAGATCGTCCGTCTCCAGGTCGATGGCCGCCGTCGCCTCGTCCAGGATCAGGATCCTGGTCTTGCGCAGGAGGGCCCTGGCCAGGCACACGAGCTGCCTCTGGCCCACGCTGCAAACACACACAGGCTTTCACCAGCGAGGCCCCACAGCTCACAGTCACCCGTGCTGGAGCAGGTGAAGTTACCCAAAAACCCCCAGAATCTTTAGCAAGCAGCCTTGCTAAATACACACAGGTTTGCAGCATGCCAGCACTGACTGAGTGATGTGTTACTGCCTGACCCAGTGCTGGCAGAGCCACCAAACGTCCCTTTTATCATCATGACAAAAGCCAGGGCAACTAATGATGACAATGCTTCTGCCCAAGCTCTCAGAAACACTCACAGTTCTAACAACAGAAAAAAAAGAAAAATGCTAATAAAAAGGAAAAAAATGTTATGAGGCTGCAAATCCTTTCTACCATAAAAAAAATAATATATGTATATATATGGGCAGCCAGACTTCCTCCTCTGCCACAAACACAGCCTAGGCTTAGTCTTTGTCTGAGTGTCTGCAGGATGAGGAAGGAGCTGAACATTCATCACAGGCATAATCTGGTGACACCACAGCCTCGGAAGCCAATGAAGCATATCAAAACATGGCATTTTTATCATCCCCAGTCATGTCTTCACAGGTCTTCCAAATAATAATGGAAAATGAACATTGCTAAAGTGTCAGGCAGAGGACTCTTATTCAGCACAACAGTTGTGTATGTTATCAGGGCATTTCCCTTCCTACCAAACTATGTTAAAGGACTGCCTGTCCCTACTATCTTGTCATCCTGAAACTTCTTTCTTTACTGATAAGATGGGATTTCAGTTTGGGAAAAATCCTTCCTGGAAGCAAAGAAGAATCAGATCATTTGTGGCTGTGGCAGAGGCAGAACAGGAGGCAAATGTTTGAACCTTAGAGGCTTTCTTGGAAAAGGAATAGGGGGCTAAACCATTTCAGACACACCAGACCACAGTGTCAGCCTGTGCTCAGGTGTCCCACACTGCCACAGCTGAAGGAGAGCTTACTGTGTGTCCTAGTCCAAGCAATCCTCACCTGAGGTTCTCTCCACCCTCTGAGCACTCATAGTCCAGCATGGATGGCTGGCTGCTGACAAACCTCTTCAAATGAGACAGTTCAAGGGCTTTCCATATTTCCTCATCTGAATACTTGTTAAATGGGTCCAGGTTCATCCTCAATGTTCCAGAAAAGAGAACAGGATCCTAGATATAAAGCCAGTTCTCATTAGACAAGTGGTTTAGCTGTTTTAATACTATGTTTTAGATAC